TACTTTGTTTTAAATACATTATTAGCAAAAATTATAAAATTTTCATTAAACAGACTTTTAAAGACCTGCTGTATCTTTAAATTTGGAAACACGTGAAAAAATGTCTTAAATTCAAAATAATATACAGTAAAACCTGTCCAAAATGGAACCTTAATAAAACAGAAACTTGCCTAAATGGGAAGAATGCTTAGAAACGCAGCGATTTTCTGCATATAAAAGAAACTCATTCAAAATGGAAACCTGCCATACTGGAAAAAATAAGTCCAGTTTATGCAGATTTTACTGTATATTAAACCTTTTTTAATTAAATAGAATCTTGCGATATAAGATGCTCTACTGTAATCATGTTAAAAATACTTTTTGATTAAAAAAAAACAAAAGGATGTTTGTTCTTGACGTACCGTACAAAATTCGTTATTCTCCCATACCTTATTAATAAATAAGAATACTTACTCACATTCTTAAAACAACATTGAAGTAATCATCACCAGACGTAAACAATAAAAAACTTTATTATATAGATGTTTGATGAGTGTATATGCACTGAACAATAAAATTCAGTTTTACATCGGTAATGCAATCAAACATTTAATACCAGCATGAAAAGTGATTGAAAATGAAGTGAATACAAATCAGACTACAATACAGTTATGTGTACTTTTAATGACAAATAATCAATACTATTCGTATTCTTATACAATCGAATGCGCATTTTAAAATCTACCGCCTCTACCGTGGAGAGATTGATTCCCCATTTGGGTGCCTAATAGAGGGTGTCTCGCACCAGACACTCCTCTCATTAAATTCGAGTTGTTTTGAAAATTATTATTTGGCGCATTGGGTCGAGATCCCTGTGAATTAATATTACTTCCTCTTGTGTTTGATAAATTTGTACCGAGATTTCTGTTTCCTCCTCCGCTAGTACCTTGCGATAAACTGCTAGACAGATTCAGATTTCTTTCCATATTAATTCCTGCATTGTGAAACTGAGTTCCCAAATTTTTATTAAGATTTGCAGTCTGTTGAAGACTTCCAGTCAAACCAAAACTTCTGTCGGGATTCATTCCGGTGTTACCACGCATTTGAGAACCCAAGTTGGTTCCCATTAATTGATTCGTCTGTGAACTCATTCCCAACTGATCGGAGTACCCGATATTTTTATTCAAACCCAAGTTTGGAGAATTCAGAGTTCCTGTATAATCATTTTGCATTCCCATGCTACCCATACTTCCTAAATTTGCCATTCCCGCGCCGGCTCCAGATGTCATCTGACCACCCAAACTTCCTCGTAATAAATTAGGTGACTGTATTAGAGCAGAGCTCGCGTCTTGACTTCCTGCCGATGTCATACCAATGCTTTCCAATAACTTTGGTCCAGTTTGAATGAGATTATCCAATGCTTTCTTTACATTAGGATTATCAAAATTTATATATGTCGAACTCTGTTGCGAAGTTTGTCTCTGTTGAATGTCTAGACTTTGACCAATTCCGGTCGACTGTCCGACAGTAGCCTGCGCTTTCAAACCAAGGTTAATATTTTCGGCAGTTGGTGTCGGAGTTTGACCAATTATACTAAATATTTTCTGCTGTAATTCTTGTTGTTTCAAAGCTACTGACTGGTCATTATCTGTAAGAAAAATCTACATTTAGTATTAGAAAAATTGATATTTAATATATAAGCTTATACGAATTATGACTTAACCAATTTATTTATATATCGAATTCATATAAAGTCTTAATCTGAAAAGTTAATAGTATAATAATTTATAAATTATCCTGAAATTAATATATTGTTTTGTTAATTGCATTCACAAAATTTTAAAAATATAAAATTCCAAAAGTTTCATGCATAAAAGATTGCTTACAAGTTAATATAGATAGCATTTATTTTACCAATTGTAAAATTATTATATAATTATAATACAGGATGCTTCAAAAAAAAAAAAAAAAAAAAAAAATAGATTTGGTCTTACTGGAGGGGCCAGAAATCATCTTGCTGTAATTAGTGAAATCGGTCAGGTGTCCTGACCGATTTCACTAATTACAGCAAGAGTGGACCTGAATTACAGCTTCCGGCCTGACTCTGGATTGGCTGGCCGTTATGTCCGTAGAATTACTTAAAAGGGGAGAATCAAAAAGAAGAAAGCCTCTCCTGCTGGTTTATGGAGACATGCTATTCCCTATTTAGCACTCAAGTTGATATGTTCTTATGTTCTTATATCATGTAAATAAAAGACAAAACTGAAGGACTTGTAAGTCAGCCTTTCTGATGAATGATACACCTACCCAACAAAGAAGAGAGGATAATCTTGGGATCCACTATTAAACTCACTTAATGCAAAAGCAACTTGTTATGCTGGATTTTGAATGGCAGATTGTCTTCTTCATTGTTCTCCATATACAAGAAGTAACAATTGAGTTTTGACTTCTTGCACAAGAATATCCTGCTATACCTTCTCCATATAAGTGTTTGCATAATCACCATGTATATTATGATAGATACAGATAGATTAACTTATATCGAAACAATTGTTAATATTTACATAATCATAACTTAATGATAACCTTTTTCTTATATTTTGTCCTATTCAATCATTCAAATCAAGTTATTTCTACATGCTCTATATTAGTCAAAAACGTCTCTCTTTCCACCCTTTGGAAACTAAGAGAGTATATATATTTAAGTTCGACCAGGCCAAATTTACCCATGAAGATTTTTGGAAATATGATCAAGACTCAAAGCAGTCTCTCTGGAAGTGGCAAGATAAAGCCTTTTATTATTTTGGCCATCCAGGCAAATGTAAATTTTAAAAATTGATCAGACAGAATAAGAAAAATAAATGTTAATGTTGCATATTTGAGTTGGATCAAATCATATTAACATATTGCATGCATCATAATTAATGTGACGGCATTATCATTTTCAAAATTCTCTTATTAATTCATCAATGTTATCAATCCATTTTTGCAAGAATATGCCAATTGATGGAGAGCATAACATTATATATAACTAAATCTGTTTGATATTATTTAAACTGTATCTCTAAATTTAGTGTTTTGCTTAACTATTCGAGGACAATTAAATGTATCAAGAATTAAACTTGCTCTGCTAACATTCTGAAAGATATCGAGATATTGAGCATTTTCTATGCATAATTCATTGACTAATAATGAAGTTCCGTCAAAATGAATTTTATCATCACATCCTCGTCAAAGTTCTGCTTAAGAAATCCGTTGCCTCGTGTAAAACTTTCTATGATTTTATGTTTTAAACTTTTACACATAATAATAGCTGCACTATGTTGCTAGTCTATTTTATCATCAGCTGAGTTAATAGACATTTGCTAAATAAGTGGACATGAAAGACTTAATGGCAGAACCTCTCAGCAGAACTAGCAAGATTAAAACAACTTTCTAGTGAACACACCATCTGAGAAACTTCTCAAGAGTTATTATCCCACTCAACTCTCAGAAGAACATGTACAGACCCTTGCTTAATGTGACATTTGATTAACATGCAAAATTAATTGTAGCAATCCCTTTATATAGGCGACAGAAGTTTTAATTAATGCAGCTTTACGAACTGCCTTTACTTAACATATATACCATATTTGATTAACAGATTAATGTGATTTTGATATACGCGATTACATCGAGGGATTAATTAACTATGTTAATCAAGGGATACCTAAAGTCTAAAAGAAAGAGTGCACCAATGTAAATTACACAGTACAAAAATACTTGAGACTGATCTTCACTTCCAATCTCATATATAAACAACTGCTGAACAAACCCAATTTTTGATTAAAGCCAGACAATCTGCTGTATTATCGGGCTATGATCAGGAGGTCAATCTGACATCTCATGATAATTACTGAAATTATCAAGAGATGACAGCTAAACTGCCTATTTGTAGACAAATTACTTCAAATTTAATTATTAATTTAGCCTAATCTTGCCTGATAATTCAGTGGATCATCTGTCTTCAATCCCATATAATTTTAAAAGTCGAAATCAAGAAACTCATTCAATAATTTTAAGTTAAGTTTAATCAGGATGAAAGGTAGAGGAAAGTTTCAAAAATGTTCATCCACCACATAATTTTCATTATTCAGGGTAATTTTTTTATTTACTTTGACAAGGAGAAGTCAAAAGACGGCGGCCAAATTTTCAATTAATGGCAATTATTGCAATTGTGTTGATTTATCATTCATTTTTACGAATAAATAATGATCTTTTTCTGATCTCTTATTGTTAATATTATTGCTTAATTAAATTTATTATTATTTATCGCAAAATATTACATGATATAACCGACTTAAAATATTCAAGTATTGAAATGCATTGCCGAAGTATCTCAGAATGAGTTCCTCATCCAAGAGGAAGTCACTGGAGAATTAAAAGGGATTTTGCTTCAGACACAATTTTAATTTAATTTTATTTTGATCTCTTTCCACCCTGTTCTTTCTTCTCAGAACAGGGTGAAAAGAGTTCAAAATCAAAATGAGAAGACCCTCTTTTCATGCTTATTATGAGTTTGTCCAAATCCACATTGAGTGACTGGGTCCAAAAACAACTAAACTACCCACAAAGATTTCTAACTATTAGAACTTAGTCCACAGTTTTTCAAGTAGCAATGTTTAATAAATGGTCTCACTGAACAACTTTGAATAACATCCTCTTGTCGCTGCTCTTATAACTGAAAATTAGGCATCGTGCATTGGTGTCCCAAAGTAACAGGCTGATGCCTTTACCTTATTGGGTCACTGAAAATGCTACTTTGAATTTTATTTAATGTTTTCACTTACCCTTAAGTTATGTAGAATTTTTGCAAAAGATGGGTATTATTTTTCTGATTAATTTCATAAGAAATTAATTAAATAATTAAAGTATAAAGTTTTAAAAAATGGTGGAATATCTGCACTGTATTACTGTAATCCAACTCGTATCTATAAACCTTTTACTGGTGCACGTATCATCACACTCTACAACAGTACATCTTTGTAGTTAATGCAATTACGTCCTTCACTCATGTTTAGGCATATGTAGATCGCCTCCAGCCATCTGAGTTGGTTCGTGCGGTGGGTGGTGTGAATGACCTTTGCTTGAGAGAATATGGGTTCTGTGTCAGGGTCCGACGAGTATATGGCAAGAGCTGTGTTGGTTCTTTCATGGTTGATATCCGTTTCATGCTCTTTGATCCGGGTTACTAGGGGGCGTTTAGTTGATCCTACATAGATCATGTTTCTATCACAGGTGCGATAGCACAAAGATGATATCGCTCTATCGATGGCCTGGCACGCCCTAATAGATAAATCTCTACGATAAAGCACATCATGCATAACGCGCAAGTCCATAGTGACATACGTCATCGAGTCGGGACATCATTCCAGATTGTATTTCGTAACAACTTTAAACCACATTCCGTTAGGGGATCATTACCCAAAGAAGAACCGCAACGGTTTGAAAACGTTTGTAACTGTTGTAGAGTGTGATGATACGCACACCAGTGAAAGGTTTATAGATACGAGTTGTATAAAGTTTTATTTTATGTAAGGAACTTTTAATGTCCTTTATTTATATTACTCTCAATTACAGTGTTTCATTAAAGCATCGGTAATAAGTTAGAATGTAATGTTTCATCACCTATTTTGCTTATGGAATCGGCCATTCGATACACTTAATCAAAAAAATTAAAAAATCGATATACAGTAGAACCTCGATTATCCGGACTAATTGGGGATGAAGGTAATCCAGATACGGAAAAATTCAGATAATTGAAACAAATACGTTAATTTGTCTTTTAATGATAATACAACATGTTTTCTTTTCGATGACATATCGGCAATATTAAAAGTAAATACTGTATTTAAATCATGATCAAATTTTCAAGAAAAACGTTCATATTTAATTTGGACTACTACTGACCAACACTAACAGACTACCTATTGTTTAAAAGGCCCTCTGGTGGTGCAATAAAATAAAAAGCAGTTGAAACTGCATTTTTATGAATAAAAATTTGACAAACTATTTATCGTTTTATGACGAGTAAAGTTTTTTGGCGCGTTCGCGGCTTTTAAGTAATGTATCGAGGCATGAGGCCCTTCAGACCACTAGGCATAGGCAGTGGCCCACGTCGTCCATGCCTTACATCGCCCCTGGTCATAGAAATGATGTAATTTGAATATAAATTATTTATAAATGTATATGTCAAGTTATATTTTTATTACGACGTAAAGTATATTTAAGAGTTTACGACCACTGTACTGAGTGAGATGCTGTTGAAACAAAAAAAGTTATGCATTCCATCACATACATAAACAGTGTCGTAATTCGCCAAGTGCAAATCAGCAAATTCGTAAAATTTTTGTTTATTTTGAACAATCCGGATAATTGAGGTTCTACTGTAGTACCATAAATATTTTGTTGATTGTGCAATATTAATTTTAATAAAATACACAGAAAAATTACATAAAATATTGCAAGTACCCTTTAATTCTTTGACTAAGTGTATTTTCAAAGTTTATACTAGAAAATATTGAAATTTCAATTGTCGTACTAAACAATTAATATATTTAAGTACTAAAACATATATGCTGTACTTACTTTGAATAGTGGTGGTTGCAGTAGTGAGTGTAGTACTGGTGGTTATGCCTGCTAACTGATCTTTACGGTCACGCAAATATCCAATCACTCTATCGAGTTCAGCAACGGTCAAGAATCTCCCATCTGCTAACTGGTTTAGAAGATATTGTATTTCGCGATCGGGAGGTAGATATCCTCCGTAAGGACCAGCTTCAGATCGTTCACGATCCATTTTCTCTTTCCGATTCTGAATGAACTCGAAGAAGTTGTGAGCTATCAATTTCACTGCATCATCGAGCGGCATATTTCGATGCTCTGAAGAAGAGTTAAAAGAAATTGTCAATGGTTAATCCACATGATATTGTGTAGGCATGCCCAATTAAATGTTTTCTAAATTTCACAACTAAATTCTTCTATATTTGAATTATTTAATCATCATAAAACAGCACTTATTACAGAAATTAAAAATTAAAAAGAAAAAGATCAGAGATCACAAATAATAAATTTCTTCTGATAAAATGAAAGTTTAATAAATGCAAAGCTTTGTTAAGTATATTACTAAATATATCCAAATATTTAAATAATATATTTTAAAAGAATACAAATTTCATTTGACAAATAAGACTTCTTTGGAGAAGCAGAAAGCTCAGATAGGAAGCCAGATAAGATTGGAGAAGTTGCATTCTCAGTAACCTATAACCTTTATTACAGGTTTATTGATTGCTCCAACAAAGACTAAGTTTCTTAATTTGGAAACTAGAAACTACTTATTGATTAGTCTGTTTAATCGTTTTCCCCACAACTTATATTGATACAATACAGTAGTTTTTGATATGTAAAAATATGTTTAGCTGTATCCTATAATTAAAAATTCAATCAACGACTGATTAATTAAAGACTGAAAACAAAAAGATGAATTTGCATCTTAAATTACTCTGGTAAGTATTATTTAATGAACAAAAACGTTTTTGACACAGTTGACGAGCTTTCAACAGGACAGGAGTTTAAGCCACAAGTTTTGTTCACGGACACCTTCTTCAATTTAAGGTGCAAGTTTTATCATCTTGACGTTCCTCCTCCATTTTCTCATTTATTTCTTTACTAAGATTGATTTATCGAAACATTCACCTTTCATTCACTTCCATGTTCAAGAATACATTCTGTGACGACCGACCTTTCTTTTTAGGCTACTTAGGGTCACCAAATATTTAATAATAATAATTGATTATTTTTACCTAGGAATAGTATTTCCAGTTTATATAAAAATCAAAACATCTTATAAATTTGAAAAAGACTTGTAAAATAATCTTTATATGATCATCATCATTATTTATTTGCACTAATATATATATATACACACACAGAATAAATGGATTATTCTCCTGAAAATAAAACAAAATCAACTAAAGTAAATTGTAGATATAAAAAAACTATGATGATTTTTGTGCATAATTATATGTATTAATCTCTATCTTGAGTCAGTTATATCACTGTTTGCAGTGAATGTTCTGAACAGTTAACAGTTAGAAATTCGCTGAAGCCCTTGTTGTATTGTGCATGTTTGGAGACAAACCACATGAGTGATTTATCAGGTGGCATGTTATAACCAATCTATCTATCCACCTATTTCGACTATATCTTATCTCCATGTCAACTTGGTTTTATTGTGGGTTGTACTTCATACAATGATAGTTTCAAGGTCAATGATAAAATAAATTAACATTTCTCTGCCAGAAGAAATTCAACAGCGACAGATTATTTAAAAAATTATCATCTAAGGCATTTTTAACTTGGAGGACAAAAACAAAGTGCAATATATCCAAATGAGCAACTGTATATTCTAAAGACTAAATCTCGCATCTCTGGAATAAGATCAGAGTAGCAAGTTACCTCGCATCCCCAGAGTGGCAAGTCGATACTTATTTTACGAGTATCAACTTGCATTTGAATTAGAGTGGTTTGATCTGGAACATCGAATCCTGTCACTCATCATCCATCTCATTGTGAGGCTAGCTTGATCCATTCTGGATTTAAACAAAGCTATCTTACTTTCTGTAAAGCAGAGAGTTTAAAGAAAAAAAAAATTGAAATAAGCTATTAAATATGAAATTTGTATTCTTCTAAACTAAATATTACATTGTTAGAAAATTAAATGTATCTCATACATTATACATTTGTACATTTGAAAGCTTAGCTGTTATTAAACTTTTCTCTTTCTACATCTCTTCTTACTGCTCATGATTAAGTAACACTAAACAATCATCATCATGTACTGTACATACCAGACGATTTCTTCAAATATNGAGTTGGGAAAAACTTGTAAATGCACACAAAGGTCTTGGGTTGCGTGGTACACATTACTGCCCTTATTTCCTCTGGTTTAATAAGAAAAAAAAAAACTAGCAACGAGTTGCATAACTTTCCCAGCAAGAGTTAAAACTGTATGTGACACTCTCTTCTTACTGCTCATGATTAAGTAACACTAAACAATCATCATCATGTACTGTACATACCAGACGATTTCTTCAAATATTTTTTAAGCTCAAATTTAACATATCAGCTCACAAACTTCTTGCTGGTTTCTCACTAAACATTGAAATATATTAATACATTTGCTCTCACATATCTTGATGTTCTTTCGGACTAACTTAGTGTATGCTTCAAATTCTATTATACCAACATATCACCTAAACGAGTAACTGATCTAATTAAAACTAACATTTACGTATAAAGTCATAAAATGGTTATTCTTGTTAGCTGTCATGTCCAATTTTAATTATTAATATGACTAAATAATCACTTTTATAGCAAAAAAGAAAAAAAAACACAGAAATTCAAAAGATTTCTTTCAAAAATTGTTTTAATCTTTAATAAAATAACAAAAATTTATCTAGCGTGCTATCATATTTTATACTGAAATCTCGTTGCACAAAATTCTGTCCGAAACTCTAAGTTCATCGAAAAGCCGAAAGGCACACTCGCTGCTGATTATCGCACGTTTAAAACTGACTCGCTATAAACACAAACACTTATCACTGATTATTGCTCGTTTAAAACTG